GACATGACAGGATTTGATCTGTTGGGCAGGGATCTGCAGTGGGAAGAATTGATCCAGGAAGTTTCCCCCTGGCACCAATCCCTATACTTAGGATAAACAGCACTCAATCGAATGGGAGATCGGACTGTGTAGGGCAACAACTCATGGGTTGAGACCCACGGTGGAGCTGTACTCGCATAGACTCCTTATACCGACAGTGTCCAAAGTGCTGTGTCACTGGGAAAATTCATGATGTTCTCAGGGCCATCACCTTATACCCCAGGATGTTGACAATGTTTTACTTTTTGTTTCTATGGGTTTTTGTTTTCCTGCCTGCCTGTAGTTTGCTTGTTTTCATGTTTGATTGTTTGTTTGTTTGCTGGTTCGTTGGTTGCTGCTGTTGATGTAGTTGGTCTTATGGGGTTTTGATTTTTGTCATAATATGACCGCCAAAGTAAACCCGAGTGGTGCATATCCCTTGGATAAGCAGATGTATTCAGGGCTCCCAATGAACTCTAGCCCCAATCAAGGATAGTTAATTCTGGTAATATGACCCTACTTGATACGCATCTTCATGAAATGATCACTGAAGATAAAAGTGCTACAGCAAAGTGTCGTGAAGTAAGCAGATGGTGCCAGGCTATTAATCAGAATAGTATCTGGGGTCTTACAGGCTCATATTCAAACAAGCAGCCATCTAAGCAAGGAGTTAACTAAGTGCACATGTAAGAAGCACACAAGCTTGTGTGATCCAAAGATGACAATAAAAAATTCAAATAAGACAAGGGAAAACTATCAGAGCTTGAATCTGAACACCCAATTGGTAGAAGGCTATGGAGGACAGTGGGAGTAGTTAGTCAGATTAAGCCTCTGGCAGATTCCCTCTAGCCACAGGCAAAGGGCTCAAACAGCTCTACTATCAGATAAAGATCACTGTAAATTTGATTATGCTGGATAGAACTTGATACTTGGTCAGTTGACCTCCCTCTTGGCCCAACCTGAATTTGTTCTAGGTGCAAGTATTACTTGCTTGTTCTATGCCAAAAATTTTTCCCGTGGCTTTTAAAATATTGATGGTGGTCTTTTCTTTCTTACTCATTATTTGCATTTTTATCTTTATATTATTATTATTTTATCCTTACCACTTTATTTTGTTTTTGTCTTTTATGGTTTCTGTAGGATTTTCCAGTTTGTGAAGCATAGAAAGAGTAGATGCATGGAGATAATAACTGATTCAGGGTCTATAGGGGATTTAGCAGTAGGGGGTGGGAGATAGGGAGGGTGAGGGGACTTGGGGAGTAAACAATGCATGCAGGAGGGAGGAGGGAACACTAGAACTGATTGTGACAACACAACTCATGTTAAAAGCAATTTAACCATGAAAAAAATGTTCTAAAACTGATTGTGGTAATGATTGTACAATTCTTGATATTATTAAACTATTGAATTGTATTATATGTGGATTATATGTCAATAAAACTATAAAAAAATCAAAGAAACAAAGAAAGATCATTGGACTTGGAGTCCGGACTAGTGTTTTAATTCTGTCTCAGTGTCTGATATTCATGGGCGAGCTAGTTACCCAAAGTCACATCTTGGAGTCTCATTTTGCTCGCATATAATTTAGGGATAGGAGTAGTTGTCAAGAGCCCTGGTGGCAGAGTGGGTTACATGCTGGGCTGCTAATCATAAGATCAGCAGTTTGAAACCACCAGCCTCTCTGTGGAAGAAAGATGAGGCTTTCTATTCCCATAAAGATTCACATTCTCAGAAACACACAAGGGCAATTCTACTTTGTCCTGTCGGTCACCATGCATCAGGATCGACTTGATGGCAATGAGTTGAAGAGTTTGAGCAGTTGTCATGAAACTCAAAACAGGTCATGCCTGCGACATTAATTTATGGACAATGTGTGTGGGATGGCTAGCTGACCTGAGACAAGATCCCGACACCATGGAGACATGGCTCCTGTCCCCTCTGAGTGCCCCACGCTGGGCCTCACACAATGTCCACTGACGCCTGCATTCCTCTTGTGCCTGTTCAAATCTGAACAGGAAATGAGGCATCCTCCTGTAGCTCAGCCCTGGTACTTTACTTTTTCACATAACATAATGGTGAGATTAATTTAGCTCTGACAGTTGTGAATTTCCCGAGAGGTCAGGGTGGCTCTCGGCTGATGGATATAGCTGTGAGTTTCCCACCCTGTATTCTTCCCCTCTTCCTGTCCCCGTTGCTTGCCCTCTAGCAGGGCATTGCCGTGACGTGGTAGCATTGCTGTATCCTTTTGTCCGGTGCAGTATCGATGCCCCAGCAGCTGAAATGCTTCTGGGTGGGGACGTGCTGTCCCAGGAGATGGGACTGTGAGGCCTTTCCTTCTCTGTGGGAGTCTTCATGCTTGCTCTGGTTGAAAGCAGCACAAACCCAAACATCAGCCTTCCGCAGGCTCAAGGCCTTGCCTGGGCAATGATGATATGCCGGGCACAGGGCACCAAGGACCATGCATACTTTGTCTCATTGTTTTGTTGTTAGTTGCTCAGGAGTTGCACCGTTGCCTCAACTCATGGTGACTGATCTGCAAACTCATGGATCATTATGATACATATAGTTGTCATTGTGTGGCAGGTTCAAATACATGGCAGTCACTATAATGTCTCGGAATTTAGAAGAGTCTTTTATTCAGCTATAACCAGGCTACAAGAATCTAAAAGCAATTCCTTGACCGCAGTCCTGATGGGGCACTTCAGGCCATCTTTAAAGGCAAAGAGTCATCTATCCTTTGTCTAGACGTTTAGCAAGCGTGGACAGAAGCAGAAAGCAAAATCAATGTTATTATTATTTAGAGTTAGTATTATAGGGTACAACATTGATTATAACATCCTGGTAAATAAAATAAAAATAGTAATCACCTGGCTTCCACATCAAAAGGAACAATATTATTAATGACAGTGTTCTGATCTTGAGAACGTAAGAGTACACACTAAAATAAAAAAAACCAGTGGGATTTTCTGAGATGGGAGAGGGAAGGAGGCAGGTCATTCAGCAGTCAACAAGACAGTGTCACAGAGTTTCATGCTAGTCTCTCTCAATTGACTGAGTTTTGAGTGTAGATTGCCAGACCTTTCTTCCTCACTCATCTTAATCTGGAAGCTCTGTTGAAATTTGTTCAGCATCCTAGCAACACACAAGCCCCCACTGGCAGATTGTGGCCAGAATCAAACCTTAGCCTTCTATGTGGAAGGGGAGCATTTCACCCTGTAGTCACCATTGCCCTCTCTTTTCTCTCTTGATGATGACTGTCATCAAGTTGGCTCAGGACAACCCCATGTGCTTTAGAGCAGAACTAGGCTCAATAGTGCTTTGAGGTTTGTGACCTATGGCCAGAGATCTCCAAGCATCCTCTGGGTGGATTCAAACCACCAACCTTTTGGTCGGTAGTAGGGGACTTGACCATTTGCATCATCCAGGGACTAGAGTATGAAACCATGTGCTCCACTTCATAGAGGGGACTGTGGGGTCCTAAAATGCTGTAGGAATTGCCCAGCATCATGTAATGTAAGCAGAGAGCACGGCTGGACTCCCAGCATATCAGAGCCCTTCCCCTAACTCTGAGTCCAATCCACCTGGCTGCAATACATTCTTAATTTTCATCTTTAATTCTCATCCAGGGCCTCCAGGGAACTGCAATCCTAGCCCCATCCAGGTTCAAATTCCACCCCATCTCCCTGGCCCCTCTCATACCAATCTAGCTAAATGTCTTGGTTTGGGGGAGCGAAGCAGTGTGTGTAGATTTTGACTATTTTTGTAACTAAAGATTTGTTTTTGTAAATTAAGTTTTTTGGGAACAAAATCATGATCATTGAATTATATATCACTGAAGGCTGTCTTCAGTCTATAACAGGAAAGTTGAGCAAGTATTTAACTATCTGGCTTTCTGCAGAAAATACCTACTGATGCTTGGCCTACTAGGCTCCTGCTGCCTAAACTTGCTTAGAATGCAACTAAATTCATTAGAAGCAAACTAATATTGGAACCACAGTACTACTAATCTTTCCTCATTCACTGTCATGCTGGGGATTTTGTTACATGTCCACAGACGTCAATTTGAAGCTGCAGAATCCATGTCTACCCTCACTCTCTCATCTGCTCAGTGAAACCACACTTGGTCTGCTTACCAAGAGGACAAATGCCAGCTGGAACGGGCTTTCCACACGTGGAAACCCTCCTGAGTTTCAGCTGCTCTTGCAGGTTCCCTGCGAGGGGAGGGAGATGTGTTCTTGTTGTAAGAGGGTCAGACCTTCCTGACTTTGAGGAGGGGTGTGGAGTGCAGAGGGCTGTTTGTTCATCTTGATGACACCTTCTCTACCCCCTTTTCTTGATTGCGTTCCAGGATTTCAGTCTTCCTCACCCCAACATCTCCTTTTCCTAGATCAGCTTAGTTGGCTCAAATTTAGAACAAGAGCTACTTACTTCCTCTTCTTCCCTTTGTTTTTATTAAATGTGAAAGGGCAGGGCATGTGATGATGATGATGATGATGATGATGATGATGTGTCTGTGGGTATACAGGTAAAGAATTAGAAAGTATCCTGGTGGCACAATGATTAAGTGCTTGGTGGTTAACTGAAAGGTTGGCAGTTCAAGTTCACTCATCAGACCCACAGAAGAGAGATCTGGTGCTCTGCTCCCATAGAAATTATAGCCTAGGTGACCCGATGGAGCTGTCTCACTGAGCTCAATGACACCACCAACAGCAATAAAGGAAAAGTACAAAAATAGAAAAAGAAGGGTTTAGGAAGTGAAGAAGGAGCCCCAGTGGTGTAGTGTGCTACTTGTTGAGCTGCTAACAATAAGGTAAGCAGTTCAAACCTATCAGCTGCTCCTCAGGAGAAAAATGAGGCTGTCTGCTCCTGTCAAGATTCACAGCCTCAGAAACTCTAAGGAGCAACCACACGCTGTCCTACAGAGTTGATATGAGTAAACTCAGTGGCGGTGGGTTTGGGTTTTTTGTTTGTTTGTGAGGAGATGAATATCAGTGAGAAGTGTGGAGTGTGTTTTGGTGCCCGAAAACAATAAGAATTGCCTTGCCCTATCTTTACAGTAACCTTCCGGTGAGCGACCCAGGCCCTACAAGGACAGCTGTCCCGCCCCGTGAGGGGTTTGGGAATAGGTTTGAAGAGTGGCTCAGTTCAGTGGGCTAGTACTGGATTAAAGAAACTTTCCATGTTTCTCATCTTCCAGCGAGGCCTAGGAAGACTGAAGGAGCCTCACATTAGGGGTAGAGTCAGAAGTTCTGCCTTTCAGATCACAAGGCTGTGGGGAGGGTGGATTAGGTAACAGGCCTGGAGAAGTGCTGTGGGAGCTGAGAAGGCTCCTTGCCAGGGAACTGTCTTAAGACACTTTTCTCCTTGGAGTCTCATGACCATATGCCACCACGTGGCAGACCAAGGTGTTTAAAAAACAGATATAGCACCAGTGATTTTTCCATGAAAACTTGTAGAAAGAGCATGAGGTTCGGTCAGACAGGCCTCATTTTGAAGTTAGCTCCCCCACTCATTACCTGCATGACCTTTCTGAGCCTGGTTCCCCTTGAGTACGGCAGAGGTAGTGGGAACCTGCCAGTTTGGGTCATTCGAAAAGAGCATGAGAATTTTCTTTGCGAGCCCGCCCATGAAGGGAGAAGCTAAGAGAGGCTGGAGGAGGCAAAAACAATCATCAGAGGACAGGTGCATCTGAGAGCCAAGAAAGGAGAAAGGGCAGGAAGGAGACTAAGTAGGAGGATCCCCCACTGCTTTCTGGAAAAGTTGGTTCATCAGAGGACGCTACCTAACAAGCTACCTAACAAGCTCAGTGGCTTCAAATGACTATTTTATTATACCTCTGATTTTGTGGGCCGGAACTTTGTGCAGGGCTTAGACAGATGATTCTTCTGTTCCATGTAGTGTCTGCTGGGGAGTCACTCAATGAGACTCAGCAGGCAGCTTGTCTGGTCTTGAACATCCAAGGTGGCTTTTCTCATCTGTGAGGTGCCTGGACAGGGGATATGGGAAGGCTGGAACCAGCTGGTCCTTCTGTCGGTTACCCTAGACCGCTCTAGGCAGTCTCTCCAGCAGGACAGTCTGACTTCTTCATGATGTCTCAGAGTTCAAGAATGAGTGTTCCAAGAGGCCAGGAATGCCAATTTCTGAATCAGCTCCACTGCTTTGTTTTGGTAGAAGCAGTCACAAACCTGCCTCGGTTCAAGAGTAGGGGACATAAGACTACCTTTTGCTGGGAGTTTTCTTAAAGACTGTGTTGCTATCTCTAATACACCAGCATGCCTCTCTCGTAGGGTTATGGAATGCCACAGGGCTTAGGAAATCCTTATTGTGGAGGCTGTAATGGGATGCTAGCTGTAAGGGGATGTTCATGTTTTTGCCATCATCTTCATCATTATTGTGCCTGCCTCAGCACTTCCTGCAGACATGCTCTGAGTACGGAGGATGCCAGAGTATCGGGAGGGCTCTATAGGCCGTGCCACCCTCAGTTTCCAGCCTTCTGTTCCCATCATCACCTCTCTCCTCCCACCCTGACGCACAGCACTGTCCATCTTCCCCAGGTGTGCTGGACCTCAGTTTTGAGGCTGAGAGCCCTCTGGTGCCCCCTGCTGAACTTCTGGAGAGACTACCCAGCTACGATTGGCTTCTTCAAGGAGGAAGTAAGTCCACTGGTCTCGGTTCCTTCAGCCTCTGTCTGGGGCTCTGGCTGGTTGGTAGGGAAGTCTGAAACAGGTTAGTGCTGGGAAATAGCCCTTCCCTTGGAGGGGGAACCCTTGGGAAACCTTTGTGGCTTTGGGCTATCTTTGTCACGGTGGTGTATTAATTTCCAAGGACTGCCATGATAAAATTCCACAAGTGTGGCACCTAAAATGTCAGAAACCTATTGCCTCACAGTCCTGGAGGCTACAAGTGTAAAGCCAAGGGGTTGGCAAAGTTGATTCCTTCCAGAGGCTCCACGGAGGGAGAATCGGGCCCATGGCCCTGCTCTAGCTTCTGGTGATGGCTAGTGACTCTTGGCATTTGTTGGTAAGTGGATGCATCACTCTAGTCTCTGCCTCTGTTTTCACAAGACTCCACACCCACGTTGTCTGTGTCTAGTCTTGTCTTTCATAAGGACCATTCATACTAGGTTAGGATTCTTCTACTTGCCTATGGTTTAAAGTTTAATTACTAGTGGAAAGGTTGATGGTTCAAATCCATCCTGATTCACTTCAAAAGTCAGACCTGGTGATCTCCTTTTTGGACGATCATAGCCTTTGAGAACCCTCTGGCGTGCCGTTCTACTCTGCATTCATGCAGGTGGAATTGACTTGATGGATTGGGAGGTACTCCAGCGTGACCTCATGCTACCTTACGTGATGACGTCTTCAAAGACCATGTTTCCAAACAAGGTTGCATTCACAAGGGCAGGACCTCAACATCTTTTTGGAAGACACAATTCAATCCCCACAAGTGGGGAGAGGAGAAGACTGGGCACAATCCCTGACAAAGTTCATTAAAGACCAGCATCTTGCTTTTTCTTCATTGTGTTCGTTCTCCTATTCACTCGGTGCTTACTTTCCTCACCACATGAACATCTGCTCCTTTGCGAGAGACTACTCTTCCTCTGTCCTCCAGGACCGCAAATCTTCTTCCCACCTGCAGAGAGCCCAGGGAGATCCCAGCAACCAAGATCCTGGTCCTCATTCCTGGAACACAGGTGAGCTGACATTTTTCTCTTGTGCCCCTGTGAGTTTTCTATGCATCAGCATTGTCTCCGAGAGGTGCCCTTAGGGACCTGCCAGTGCATCAGGATCTCCTGGGGGGACATGCCCCACCCAAAAGCTTCTGGATCAGGGTCCCCAGGGCCTGGGAACATGCATTTTGCCAAGCTCTTTGGGCCATTTGGATACCAAGCCTGGGTGGAAAGCCATAGTTTGGCTGGGTAAAGTATTCTTGGGTTTGCATTATTTTCCTTCAATTTTTGGAATATGTTACTCCACTCTCTCCTCTTCTTCATAGTTTCTGCTGATAGGTCTGAGCATATTTTTATTTCAGAACCTTAATATAGGATTACTTGTTTTTCCTACCTGCTCTCATGATTTTCTCCTTTTCCTCAAAGGAGGATTTCATCCTCTTCCTTTGCCTTGGTGACTTCTTCTTGGGATTCAGTCTAGCTGGTGTTCTTTCAGCCTCCTGAATGGTTGGCTGGTTTTCATTCATTAAGCTGGGGACGTTTTCCTCCAAGAATTCTCTATTGTTGCAGATGACTTCTTTGTGTGTCTTCCTCTGGTAATCCAATTATTCTGATGTTGTTCCTCTTCATAGCATCAGACATAGCTCTTAGGTTTTCTTCAGCTTCTCTGATGAACTTAGTAGATTTTTGTTCGCATTTGTTAAAGTCTGCTTGGCTGTCCTCCAAGTCATTGGTGTGGTTCTCTGCTTCCTCCAGTCTATTCTCAAGGTCCATGAGTCTGCTACGGGTTTTTGTATCTCCTCCCTAAGCTCTTGTATTTCTCTTTGGTGTATGGACTTTATCTCCTCTATCATTTCATCCTTTTACTGTATTGCTTCCCTCATATCCTGTATGACTCCAAGTAGCATCCTGAAAATTTCTTTCTGTGGCAGATCAATGTCTGCTTCTATGCACGTTGTTAGGTTCAGGACATCTTCTGCCATTGCCTTTTGTTTCTCCTGTGTTTTCGTTGAGGTTGTTGGGGCTGATTGCTGTTTGCGTTGCGTTGTTTTAGAGGAGCCAGGTGCCATTTTCCAGGGAGTTGAAGAGGACTGGCTGTCTCTGGGAGACTTGTAGGAATGCTTCTTCAAACTGCCTGCAGCTAATTTCACTATAGAATTAGCCTACCACTTTATCCTCCTGTGGCTTCACTCTCAAGGGAAGTGCCTCAGAAGGCTGGTGGGTTGCCTGCTTTGGTGTAGAACACTGTGAATATTCCTGCAGCAGCATGGAACATTGGTAAGTGTTGGCCGAGCTACCTTAGGCCATGCAAGGCACTAAGGTAGGTGGGAGGAAGTTCCCTCAGTCACATGGGCCCACAGAGGACAAATAGGAGCTCCCCCAGCCACTCAGGAAGGAATTCCCCAGGAAGAAGTATGGCAGAATATCCTCTGGTGGAGGGCAGGCGGGCTTTCCCCAGCCTTGGGGAAAGCCATAGTTTGGAACAAGAGTTCCAAACTACAGTCCCTGGGCCAAACCTTGTACACCGTTGGTTTTTGCAAATAAAGCTCTATGGAACATGGCCACACCCATTGGCTTAGGTACTGTCTGTGGACAAGATGGATGGACACAGCAGTTGCTTCCATGGGCTCAAAGAGAAGAGCAATTGAGAGGATGGCATAGGACCAGGAAGTGTTTCCTTTCTTGTTGTACATGGGGGGGTCTCTGAGTTAGAACCCGCTCGACGGCACCTAACAAATGGACACCTTTGTGCTAAAGTTCAGAGTGGGGGCACTTCAAGAGCCTGCAGCACATTGACTGCCTGGCTCTTTACAGAAAAAGCTCATCAATCCTGGTCTAGTCCCTGGCTAGACCTGGATTGTTTTGTGAGGACTTGGGGGAGAGCCCAGGATTTCCCTGCTGGCTTTGTGCAGAAAGAAGGTGGCACCGGCCCCTCCCCTGGGGCTGCTTCCAGCGGGGGCAGCCTTGGCCTGTTCCGGAGCTTCCAGAGCTCCAGGCATAGCTTCTGTGAGTGGCACTTCCCTTTCTCTTCCCTGCTGCCTCACCTTGTCCGAGAGTCCAGCCCAAAGTAACAGCACACACTCTTTGCCTGCTTAGGGCACCTCAGTGCTGGGCCGGCAGGGCATGGACAGGGGTGGACTCTGTCAGATACTCTCTCAGCTTGTCCTGGGGATGACTATGAACATGCAGGGAAGGAGCACCAGACACTCTCTCAGGCTTGTCCTGGGGATGACTATGAATATGCAGGGAAAGAGCACCAGACACTCTCTCAGGCTTGTCCTGGGGATGACTATGAGTATGCAGGGAAAGAGCACCAGATATTCTCTCAGCTTGTCCTGGGGATGACTATGAACATGCAGGGAAGGAGCACCAGACACTCTCTCAGCTTGTCCTGGGGATGACTGAACATGCAGGGAAGGAGCAGGAGGATAGAGTTCCCATTAATAATGCTTCTGGGAGCAGGGAGAGCTTTGCTGAGGAAGCAGCCTGGAAGCTGCGTGTCAGTAAAGAGGGCTTTTCTAGAAGGACAGCAAAGGCACCCAGGGGGCTGAAAAGGTGCCCTGTGCCCCCTTCCCTTGTTGCCATACTCATTCTATGAGTGCCCATAAGACATCTCTCTGTACACAGTCAGTTGGTGCTGCCAGGTCTGAGTCTCATGTGAATGGACTGCCCAGCCATGCCATGTCTCCTCCAATCAAAGTTTGGTTACTGAGGGTGGAGCCTAGTGCAGCCCCACCCAGCCTCATACCAGATACCTGTGTGCCACCCTCTCTGGAGCTCAGTTTTCCTCATCTGCTGAATGGCACGAATCAGCTCTAAGTCTTACTATATATATTTTTGAGTTCTGAGTTTCTTTCAGGCCTTCTCTGGGGCGCCAACCTTCAGCTACGTGGTTTTTAATTCTCTCAAAATACTTGTCACAAAATGACCCTGGTCATACTTTCCTCTTGGCTAGATGTGCCCTGAGCGTGTTGCCAATTGTTTGGACCTTAGTTGGAGTCCCCAGCGGTGCCCACAGTCAACATGCTTGGCCATGCACCCAAAGGTTGGTGTCTACACAGAGGTGCATCAGAAGAAAGGCCTGGTGATCTACTTAGAGAAAAACCAGCCTTGAACACTTGGTGGAACACAGTTAGAGTCTGCACAGATGAAGTCACTGTGAGGTGCAGTGAATTTGACAGCAGCTGAGTTTCTGTGTGCGTGTCCTTGTGTCTAATTCGTGATGTGTCAGGGGCTTTTCCTTCTCTGGGCCTGTTTCCCATCTGCACAACGAGGGGACTAGCCTGGATGAGCCTGCAAACCCTATCCAGAAGTCCTGCTTTTTCCCTTGGTCCCCGCAGGTTCCCCATGGTGACGGAGGAGGTGGCCCGAGAAGCCCTCCTCAGCTTCGTGAACTCCAAATGCTGCTACCCCAGTGCAGCAGCCGGCGACCTCATCATCCAGGAGCTGACGCAGCGGACGCTCTGCAGGGTACGTGGCCTGGCCTGGGCGCTGCATGAGGGGCTGTGGGCCTGGGAAGGATCAGGTTTGAGGGCTGAGGGGGTGGTCTTGTGTGATGCCAGGGACTAGGAGTAGTGGATGTGAGTGTGTGTGTATGTGCATAGGTGCTGATGTTGACATCCTTCTGCACTTGGTGTGGATTGGTGAGCAATAGTACAATGATAATAACTATTATCCATTGAGAAGCTCAAGTGAGCTGGACAACAGGGGCAGTATATGTTCTAGCTATTTGCTGCTGTTAGGTGCCAGGGAGGAGTTCCGACCCACAGTGACCTGTGTGCCACAGAATGTAACACTGCCCAGTCCTGCGCCGTCCTCACAAGTGTGCTTGGGCCCGTTGTTGCAGCCACGGTGTCAGTCCATCTCATTGAGGGTCTTTCTCTCTTTGGATGACCCCTCTACTCTTTCAAGCAGGAGCCCTGGTGGTGTAGTAGCTACCCCCTAGGCTGCGATCCTCTTGGTCAGCCGTTTGAAACCACCAGCAGTTCCAAGGACAAAGACTGGACTGTAAACAGCTACAGTCTCGGAAATCCACAGGGGGTCGCTCTGACGCACTGGCAGTGAGTTCGCTGTACCAAGCAGGGCGTCCTTTCAGGCAGTCCACTTCTGAGGAATTAGCTACGGAAGACCTATGTGACCTTGAAGTCTTATAAAATCCTTGTAACTACCTTGTGGTTGGACTCAGCCCCTGACATAAGGTGACCCCAGGAACCGTGGAGGAAAATGCTGCTGGGGTCTGCCTCATGCCCATGTTCAATTGTAGCTCAGCTGGCTGTGATCCGTATGTTTGTCACTGGCCGATTGTCAGAACTGAAATCTGTTCTGCTTCATGGTAACACACAAGCTTCCCTTGACGGATGGGTGGTGTGTACATGGAGTCCACCGGTTAAAAATCGAACCTGGGTCTCCCTTATGAAAGGCCAGAATTCTGCCACGGAGCCAGCACTGCTATGATTGTCATTGTTTCTAAAGGAGGGATTGGACGTGTTAATATTACTTGTCCCAGAATATGAAGCTAGACATTGCGGCTGGGCCTTAAGTACTGGTTTGTAGCTCCAAAGCCCAGACCCTTAAAACAAGACAAAACTGCTTTCCCAGGGGTTAGCTGTGAAAGATGGAGCCCCTGCCTTCCCTGGTCCACCCTCCTGCCTCTCTTGCCCCAAGTTCACAGTTCCCTCTGCTCCCCTGAGCCACTTCTGGGCCAAGACATTCTTCACCCAGGAAGGAAGTCCAATATCTGGTGCCCAGATTCAAACCAATCATTCCTTGGCTTTCTGCCAGGGACAGAGCAAGAGGGCAGACTTGAGGTGCCATCTGGCCAGTGACATGTTGATATCCCAGCAGCACCCACCGGATCCACCACCATTTCCCCCCAAACGACTTTATCATGAGGCAATCCAGATATCATAGCATTCCATAGTTCAACCACATCAAGCAGCCTTGTACCATTGCTACCACAATCTGTTTCAAAGCTTCCCCCCTCCTGCCATCATGATCACATCATATCCATCTCTTGAATAGTCGTGGAGTAGGGATCTGTAGGGAGAGACCACTAGGTAGCTGCATGGCCTCAGGCAAGCCCACTGACCTTTCTGAGCCAGAGTTTCCTCACATATAAAACAAGGAAATAAAACGCCCTTTTTACTTTTTGCTGCTGTAGCATAAATTACACAAATAGGTGGCTTCAAAGAACAGAGATTTGTTTTCTCACCATTCTGGAGGCTAGAAGCCCAAACTGTGGGCTTGACTCTGTTGATTCCTTGTTGTTAACCCCGAGGGTTCCTGACTTGTGGGCAATTCTCATGGGCATCTACTTTCTCTCTGTGCGGGGCGGTATCTCTGTGTCTAATCTGCTCTGCTTATAACTCAGAAGTGATTAGCTTGAGAACCCACCCTACTGGGATATGAACTAATGAACATTAAAACCCTAGCGGGGTTAGGATTTGAAAACATTATTTGAGGGGACACAATTTAATGCACAACACAAAGTGGTGCTGGAAGTGTCTTCCCATTCTGGGACTCTGCGGATGAGGATCGGCGCGGAGGGCCAGGCAGAGCAATTCCTCCAGATCTGGGCCGTGGATTCCCACGGCCTCTGTCAGTCAAGGGGAACGTGCTGTGTGTCGAGAAGCAGGGCATTGGAATCCCTTCAGCTGGGCGCCTCTGGGAGGGGCCAGGTTTCCTGCTGGTGAGTGATCCCTGCTCTCCGTTGTGTGTGGTGCTCATGGCCCCATGGCTATGTGGCCTGGTGCTTGACTCCCTGGCTTCCCGAAGGGCACTCACATGAACATGCTGTTTTCCTTTTGTAGTATCGACTGGAGACCTTCAGCGAGTCCAGGATAAGCGAGTGGACGTTTGAACCCTTTACTAGTAAGTCAGCGGTCTAATTTGGAGCCAAGATGGGGGGAGCTGGTGAAAAATTCCAAGGTTTGGCTCAGCCTCAAATCAGATGCTCTTCTTCCCAGAGCCCCAGGTTCCCCACACTGCACAGGGAGAGTAAGCCTTTCTCTCAAGATGCTTTTCTGTGCAGATCTTAGCAAGTATTTCCTGCCCAGGTCCTGGTTCACAGGTCATAGCAATGTCTACTGTTTGCCTTTGGCCACAGACTGGAGCTACTACATGGTGCCAGGTCACAGAGGCAGCAGGTCTGCTCAGCCTTTCCCTGCCTTCCATGGCCTCTGGCCCTGCGGCTCAACCCCACCCAGATGTTGTCCGAGAGACTTCCAGGTCTCTGTGTCTGGAAAGCTCAATGCCCTGTCTGCTTCCTCTGCTGGGTCACCCAGGTTCATCCTTTCAGACTTAGGGGTCACCTCTTTTATAAAAACATCCAAGTTTTCTTCTCCTACCATCCCTTACCTGGGAAGCTCTCTGCATCCTCAGAGGCCTTTACCAGTTCTTGTTGACAGCATGCATCATGCCCCATGGCACTGTAGTAGGATGCCCTCATCTGTCTGTCTGCTCAAGCAGAGGAGAAAGAGAACGAGGAGGAAGATGATGAGGATGGGGACGAGGTTCGCTCTTGTTCAATGACCCCTCACTTTGTGGCAGCCCTTGTGCAAAGTGGTTCAGATGAACGACGCTGTGTTATTTCATTACTACCATGTAGAGGAGCCCCTGGGGGGCACAGACAGTTAAGCACTGAGTTCTTAACTGAAGTGTTAGAGGTTTGAATCCACTCAGAGGTGCCTCAGAAGAAAATCTGGTGATTTTCTTACCAAGGATCACTGAAAATGATGGAGGACAGTTCTACTCGGAAACACATGGAGTCACCGTGAGCTGGAGTCAACTTGAAGGCCATTGTTTTGTGCGTGTGTATGTGCTTGCTTGACCACCTTATGTGGCCGCCATCATCTCCATCATAGACTAGAAAGTACTGAAGGTCAAATGACTTGCTCTGAGCCACATAAGAAGGAAATTGAAGAGCCAATGGTCAAGCCCACCTTTTTCTAACCTCAAAGCTCGGGTACTTGCTTGGCCATCCATGCCCAGAGCCCCGGTATCTAGCCCTGTCTCTGCCTCCCCAAGAGAAGGCTTGGCGCTATTTATTGGACTTTTCCCTGGCATCCTTCCCGGTTTTGACCACAATCTCTTTCTGTGTCAGACCACTCAGTAGATGGACCACAAAGAGGGGCCTCTCCCAGGCTTTGGGACATCAAGGTAAAGGTACCTCCGATGTTTCAGGAAGACACCAAGAAGTTCCAAGTCCCTCACTCATCATTGGTTAAGGTAACCTGATGATCTCATTGACCACTTGGGATATTTGTCTTTCTTGTTGAGCTTGTTTTCCAAGTAATGGATGTTTCCTCATATGTTTCCTTTTAAATGGTCGTCACTCACATTCCTAACTCATTTATCTATCTATCTATCTATCTATCTATCTATCTATCTATCTATCTATCTATCATCTATCTAGTTAGCTAGCTATTAGTTATCTAAACACACACACACACATAATATATATTAGCAAATAGCTGAGATGCTGCTGAAATAAAGTTAGAGCATTATTGAGGTGTTTTTTTTAACCCACCGAAGCCAGCAGGGAAGAAGAATTTGACTTCTATCCTGCTTTACTGAACAACATTCATGCACCCAGTGAGGGAAACCACAACTAAGCTATTTGATGTTATTGGGTCATCTAATTCCCTGTCTTATTTTTGTCTCAAAACTTGATTCAAGCATGTAATTTCACTCTGTGGGTTTCCAGGGAATAATAAATAAGCTGAAAGGGATTCTGAGAGGCCAAGAAAACATTCTGCTTCCCTCTTGAGGGTGAAAATGTTTTGATTAAAGGACTCATTGTGAACAGCCAGCTCCTTAACTTTGACAAAAATGCTGTCCATTTTGACGGCTAGTATCCTGAAGGCCACTGAGTTCCTGAGAGGGCAAAGAAGTCCGTGCTATGAGTTGAGTACGGAGTGCATCCTCCCTGCAAAGCACCTTGGTAGACTGGCCTGTGAGGGAATAGGAACATCTCCAGGCCCTTCACAGCAATCCCAACCAATGGGAGTGACCTTTCTTTGCCTGGGGTGCCTCGTGAGGGTGGGAGGGGACGCCTAGAACTGTCCAGACGTGTGTCTTGGGGAGACTTCATCAGAGGAGAGTGTTTGACTTTCAGGAATGCCACAAGTGCCATGGCCATGGTCGATACAAGTGCAGCGGCTGCCATGGGGCCGGCATGGTGAGTCGCCTGTGGGCTGTTGGTGAGTGAGTGGTGGTGCAAGAGGGTGGGGTGGGGGTTGTGGGTGCAGAGGGAGAGCTGGCTGGGGTTTGGAGCCCCTCTCACGAGCAGAGGCCCTTAGACTATCATTCTCCCCTTTCTGGGCCTCCGTTTTCTCATCTGTAAAACGGGAATGTTGGACCCGGGGGGCTCAAATGAACTTTTCACTTTGGGGGTTTATGTTTTCAATTCTCTCATTTTATCATCTTTCTACAAACATTCAATGAGCCCCCACTGACTCTGAAAGAGGATTGAGACCTGGGTTCTGCATGCCAGGAACTCTCGTGGGTGGGGGAGACTGGCAATATTCCTAGGATCACAAATGACCACAAACTGTGAGACTTAAAACATAGAAGGCAAGGTAGGTTCCTTCTGGAGACTCTCAGATAGAATTGGCTCGTGCCTCTCTTAGCTTCTGCTATCTGCAAGGTTGGCAGTTCGAACCCATCAGCCACTCCTCAGGAGAAAAACAAGGCTTTCTACTCCCATAAACCGTTGTCATCTTGGAAACGCACAGGAGGCCCTTCTGCTTTGTCCTATAGGGTCGCTATGAGTCAGTATTGACGTGATGGCAGTGAGCCTGGCTCTCTCAGCTTCAGGTGGTACCCGTGTTCCACTGTTTGTCATCCTATCCCACTAATTTCTGCCTCTGCCTTCACACGGTCTCCCCTGTATGTCTCTGCATCCTTTCTTCTTCTTACAGCCAGTTTGCCAGTCACCAACCACTTGATTCCAGCTCCTGGGAACCGCTGGAGCTGGACTTGGACTTGGAGGGTCAGAGGAGAACTGTGCTCCACAGGGCTTTCAAGGACTGTGTTTGTTTGGTTTTTAAGTGGCGGGCTGGGGTGTTCGTCATCTCCATGCATCTATCAGTTAGCAGTTGGGTAGATTAGCTCTTTGTATCACCCAGGGTCCCCTTTCGTACAAAGACACCACCGCCATATAGCACGATTTCATCTTAACTAATTATACTTGGAAAATCCCTCTTTCCAAATACGGCTATATTTGGGCATTCTGGTGATGTTACTCTTGGGCTGATACTACCCACCTCAGTAGTCAGGGTGCTCTTGTGCCACACCCTGCTTTTCCGATATCTTCAGGGCCCATGACCGTCCCAAGGAGGAACACCGAGCTGGTGAGCATGTTCTAAGCAATTCCAATGGAGGCCCATCCTATGGAACAGACTGTCCACTTGCTGTTCACGTGTCTTCCTGCATCCTTATGTTTGCTGGACTACCCAGCCTCACTG